TGTCATGGCCAAAACCGGAAATCCTGCCGGCCTCAGCTCTTTTGACGAAGTTAGCGATCTAGTACTAGTATAGACATCTGTGCAGCCCGTAATCCGTAATCCGCACCGGAAGTCCGCAAAAGTTACTAGGTATTTCGTCCGTAACGTTACGTGTGTTTTTATCTCCTTGTGTCCCATGGAGCCGTAAATACAGACGTAACGGTAGTACTATTTTTTATTTAACAAATTATAATTGTTTATTTGTATTTGATTCATAAGAAAACTACAGAATATATTATAATTTTAACAAAAGTTTTAATTAAATCATCAAATTTAGTTAAATAAATAAAATTAGAAAAAGCATTATTAGTAATAACTAGTAACTTGTAATAACTTTTACGGAAATTTCATGGAATTACGGCTCCATGGGACACAAGGAGATAAAAACACACGTAACGTTACGGACAAAATACCTAGTAACTTTTGCGGACTTTCGGTGCGGATTACGGATTATGGGTTCTATGTGACGCCAGCCTAATGGCTCCTGCACACAAGACGCGGTTAACGCTTGCCGCGCGGCAAGACGCGACGCGGTGGCCAATCGGATGCTTGCTTTTCAGAAAGTAATGGATATATAACTTCCGCCGCGCGTATAATGTTGAACTGGATTCAACTTTTATCGCGCGGTAAAGGAAGATATAGTGATTTCTAGTGAATCTTCTTGTTCATACGAAAAGTTTTCAGTAAAGCGTTCCGATAATCCGGTATTCGCCGCTTATAATATGGATGATAACGAAGATAATAACGATATGATTGTAAGTACAAATGGAATAAAATATTGATATTTTATTGATTTGTAATAATCATTATTATTACAACATAATAAAATAAAGTTATTAATTTTATACGACTAGTACACAATTTTAGGTTAGATATATGATATTATTGATCAATATAATATTATTTATTTTTATTATATTTAAAGATTTGCATATTATCATTTAATGTAACTGCTTAAATGAATATTTTATATTATTAAACAATGATTTAATTGTTTAACTTTTATTTGCAGTGGTGTCCAGATTGTAGTAGTGTGGTGCTCGGAGAGCATAATTGCTCTGCTTTTAGTAATAATTTTGAAAATAAAAATGATTATTTAGAAGCATTGATTGCAGCAGTATTCGAAAGAGAGAGCTTATGGAATTCAGCATTACCATATAAATTTAGAGGACCCTCAGAGACAAAAGCATTATAGTCTGAAATAGATGGTTGTTTGAGTAAGTATCAATATATATGTAATTATCATCACATAATATTGTGTAAAGTTCTCAAATAATTTAAATTTTTAATAAGTTAAATTTTATAATAAGATTTATATTTACATAGATACAGCTCCAGGTACAAGCCAGGCAAAGTGGAAGAATTTAAGAGATCGGTTTGTAAAAGAACACAGTCTGCAGTGTACTTACATTCCAAGTGGCAGTAAAGCTAATAAAAAAGAAAAACAATTGGCCGTTCTATGAAAGTTTACGCTTTTTAGTGCCAACAATAAATTATAGAAAGTACATATAGTAGTATATGTATGACTGTAATATAACATACGCACATGCACAAATACATACAACATGCTCACATGATAATATAATATAAAACCATCTATATATAATTGTTAACAAAATAATATAAATTAATAATTAATTAAAAATTATAATCTATTGTAGAACTAAAAGTAATATTGAAAACGTACATCCAAATGTACTATCACCTTCAGCAGAACAAAAAGAGGAATTTAATTTTTCATCTGTTCCTGGTGTGAGCAGCAGAAAAGAAAATAATATTTCACAGCAATCAATATCACAAAGTACCAGTAGTTTACTAAAATCTCAAAACTTTCAGTCAAAACAAATTTCTTGTAAGTAAAAACATTTAATAAAATATTAATACTAGTACATAAATTATTTTCTTATTTTATGTATATTTTTTTTTTATTTGATTTAATATTCCTCTTTTTATGTAGCCAGATCAAATTCCGCAAATTCTGATATTCTTAAGGAAGAAGAGCTAGTATGTACAACAAAACGCAATAGTATGTAGACATTATTCAATTTTTGTTTTTGTACACATATATATTAAAAATTTATTTATTTATTATATTATTTTTTTATTTATAGATAGTGCAAGATCTACTCCAGATTCAGAAGCTTTGCTTCATTCACCTTTACCTCCAAAACGCATAAGTTAGTACATATTATTTATATATAATGTACTATACAAAAAATAATTTTTTTATTATTTTATTTTTACAGAGAAATCAAAAACAGTTGAAAATATAGACACCCGTTTAGAACAGGCAATTTTGAAAGAGTTGGAGCAAATGAAACTGTTCCCGCTTGTGAAGAGATGCTTCGTGTGGACTGTATCTTTAAACAACTGTTTGTTGCATGCACTATATTTCGTGTATTATTACAATGTTCCATAAACTTCTTATATACGTGCTATTCACATGTTGCAACGCACACACACTGTGCTGCCATCTAAATAAAAAACTCTCTTGTTCCAAAGGTAATAATGCGAGGTTATTTATAAAGAACAACTACTTAACATACTCCCCGCCTTGAAAGACTAAAGTCTTTCAAATAGTCAAATGAACGAAGCGTGTAATGACAATTAAAAAAAAACATATTAATAAGTGAAACAAAATTATCAAATAATGGCTTAAACTAAAACTAAACGAATCGACACTCAATCGCTAAATAAATTACATCTCCTTTATCTAAGTGCCTTGAATGCTTATTGTCTCAATGGGTAGAGGACACAGATTTACTGTGGCGCGACGAATGAGTCCCTTGACTGTCCGAATTGTAGCGGCTCGGACTACGGAATCAGATCCCGAGTGGAGCTCGGTGACTCTGCCAAGTCGCCAACGTAATGGAGGCGCACTATTATCCTTGATCAACACCAAATCATCCATTCTGAGGCTGCCCATGTTTGTTTTCCACTTGGTGCGACATTGCAATTCGGATATGAACTCCGTGGACCACCATCTCCAAAAATTTTGTTGCATTTGCTGTATTCTTTGATAACGTGAAAGCCGCGTCTCAATCACGTTGGTTACATCCGGACATGGCACGGTCGTCATCGCTCGTCCGACTAGGAAATGAGCTGGAGTAAGTGGCTGCATATCTGAAGGCTGAGACGACATCGGGGATAGAGGCCGAGAGTTCAGAATCGATTCGATCTGTACTAGCAAACTGTACAATTCTTCGAATGTTAATAACGCGTTTCCCATAACGCGTTTTAAGTGATGCTTTGCCGACTTCACGCCTGCCTCCCAAATCCCTCAGAAATGTGGTGAGTAGGCTGGGATGAAATGCCAATTAATCCTTTCACATACTAAGCGATCCAGTAAGATCCTTTCATTTTCCGCAAAAAATTCGCTGAACGCCTTCAGTTCTGAGTTAGCCCCGACGAACGTGGTACCATTGTCAGAGAATATTTTTCCTGGCCTACCCCGGCGAGACACAAATCTTCGTAATGCCATGATGAAATTTTCGGTTGTGAGATCAGAGACCAGGTGAATAGCCTTTGTAGTCATGCAAATAAACAGGCAAAGATATGACTTGTAGGTCTTGCATCCTCTTCCTTTCCGATCCCTTGTAGAAAAGGGGCCCGCGTAATCAACACCAGTGTTATGGAAAACGGGAGCTGGAACGACCCAATCGCGTGGCAGATCAGCCATTTGTGGGATAATCGCCTTTGGTTTGTTACGGAAACACACAATGCAACGATGTACAACTTGACGAGCCAGGTTTCTTCCCCCGATCGGCCAGTATTTCTCTCTCACTTGTGCCAACAAAGACTGAGGTCCAACATGTAGAAGAAGCCTGTGTTCGTTCTCGAAGATGAGTTTCGTTAAGCAATGTTTTGACGATAATATCATTGGATGCCTTTTGTCGAAATCGAACTCGGAATGTGCCAAACGTCCTCCCACTCGCAAAGTGTTGTCCTCGTGCAGAAAAGGCTTCAAGCTGTAGAGTTTGCTTCGCGCGCACAAAGGCTTGCCCTTTGATAATGTAAGAATCTCTTCCTGAAACGATTCCCGCTGTGCCAGTCTCACTAACGTGATTGTCGCTTGTTGAATCTCTTCCGCGTTGAAGGGACCCTTGATTGTTGACTTGTACACTCGCACGCTTATGAACCTCTTACAGTAAGCTATTATTCTTTCAATCCTTTCCAGCTTAGAGTAGTTTTCAAATTTTAATATCGATTCTGTCGTTGTAGCATGCAAAGTGCGCAATTCGGATGGTATCTTCTTTATTTCAGGTAAGTCGATCGGAATGTGCTTGTCTTCCCTTGGCCATTGACCTTCTAATTCCGTTAGCCATGTGGGTTCGTGCCACCACAACTCTGCCTTAACTAGTGTCCTCGGTGCCACTCCTCGAGATAATAAGTCGGCCGGGTTGTCTGTAGATGGAACATGCCTCCAGTTGCCAGGCACGGATCGTTCTTGTATGTCTGCTACTCGATTGCGTACAAAAGTCTGAAGACGATAAGGCTCAAGCCGTATCCAGCTTAAAACAATGATGGAGTCACTCCAATAATATATGCGGTTAATCTTCACATCCAACGACGACACAACCTTGTGCACCAACTGCGTTAATACGTGTGCAGCGCTTAATTCTAGCTTAGGTATCGTGAGGGTCTTCAAAGGTGCAACCCTTGACTTGGAGCATAGCAACTTAACAACGGAAGCTCCCGCTTCGTTTGTCGATCGCACATACACGCATCCGCCATAAGCCGCCTCGCTCGCGTCTGAAAATCCGTGAATCTCGATCCTTTGCGGAGATGAACAGCAAACCTGTCGAGGGATGCGCAGTTCACTTAATGATGGGAACTCGTGCACGAATCTTCTCCATTCTGCTTGTATTTCGGCTGGAAGTGGATCGTCCCATGGAAGTTGCAATTTCCATAGCCTTTGCAGAATCATCTTTGTAACTATAACGCTCGGGCCGAGAAGTCCCAATGGATCAAACAGCTTTGCTATCTGTGACAAAACAGAGCGTTTCGTCATGTGATTGATGTCTATTCCTAGCTCGGTCTCATATATTAGCTCATCTTTAATACAAGACCACGTTAACCCTAACGTCTTCGTGGATTCAGCCTCTCCGAGCTTAACGAATTGATGAATGTCACCAGATCGTCCAACAGTTGCAAGTATTTGAGGATCGTTTGAAATCCATTTGCGCAGTTCGAAGCATCCAGTTTCCAAGATATGTGACACTTCCGCCGCCAGCCGAGCCGTTTCTTCGCGCGATGTTGCTCCGAACAGCAGGTCATCAACGTACATTGAATTACGTATGATATCTGCCGCCTTAGGAAATGATTCTTGATGCTCATCGGCCAAGCTGAACAGGCATCTAATGGCTAGGAACGAGCTAGATGCCATCCCATATGTGATAGTGTTTAGTTCGTAGGTGATAATTGGCTCCGATGGCTTCTCCCTCCAAAGTATGCGCTGTAACGATCGCTGCGATGGCTCTATCCGCACTTGACGATACATCATCGCGACATCTGCTCCCACTACGTAAGGATATTGTCTGAAACATAGAATGATTGATAATAGATCTCGTTGTGTATTAGGTCCAATCATCTGTAAATCATTGATCGACACACCGTTCGAGGTGGGGGCCGAGGCGTCGAAGACGACGCGCAGCTTTGTCGTGAGGCTACCTTCCTTTATTACTCCATGATGAGGTAAGTAATGTGATTTGATTGTGCTATCGCTGTCAGTGACTGCCGTCATATGACCAAGCTCCTCGTATTTTCTCATAAAACTTATGTATTCACTTCGCATTTTGTCGCAATCTCGTAGTTTTCGTTCCAATGATTTTAGGCGTCTCTCCGCCAGCCCTTTTGATTCGCCCAAATCATTGATCGAAGCCTTGATTGGGATGGACACGATAAACCTACCGCTGCTGTCACGTTTGGTTGTCTTTAAAAAATGCGATTCGCACGTCTGCTCTTCCGGTGACAAGTGACGTTCTAATGGAAGTTCTTCCACTTCCCAAAATTGCTTTAGATAATGCGAAACATCCTCAACATTCGTTGCCAGATTGCATGTTTTGTTTGGACTCCTGTGACTCTTCTGAGATAGTTTTCCTGACACTACGTATCCGAGCTTTGTTTTATATAGATAGGGATGTTTACAGGTTTCATAACAAATTAGATCCCAGAATAAATCAACGCCTAATTAATAAGTCCATTTTCTTTGGTTTGTGGAAATCACGTCTGCTCTTCCGGTGACAAGTGACGTTCTAATGGAAGTTCTTCCACTTCCCAAAATTGCTTTAGATAATGCGAAACATCCTCAACATTCGTTGCCAGATTGCATGTTTTGTTTGGACTCCTGTGACTCTTCTGAGATAGTTTTCCTGACACTACGTATCCGAGCTTTGTTTTATATAGATAGGGATGTTTACAGGTTTCATAACAAATTAGATCCCAGAATAAATCAACGCCTATTAATAAGTCCATTTTCTTTGGTTTGTGGAAATCTGGATCCGCAAGTGAAGCCTCTGTTGGAATGTTAATCCTCTTGAGATCCAATGGTTCGCTCGGCAAGTTGAATGTGATTTTGGGAACCACCAAGAAATTAAGCCTTTCCTTAAACTCAGTATGCATCGATTCAATCGTTGCTGTCGCGGTTTCTAAAACCTTAGTCTTTGATTGATTCAAACCAGCAACTATTATATCGGTCTTAACAGTGTGGAGACCCAATTTATTGCATAAGTCCATCGTCATGAAGTTGGATTGAGAGCCAGAATCTAAAAGAGTACTGCATCGATGCGTTTGTCCATTCTCGCCAGTAATCATTACTATTGCCGTGGGCAATATACACTGTACAGGTCTTTCTGTTGCTATGTGCGCTGCCACAATTTCCCTTGTCTCTTTATTGTTAGCTGGTTGGGATTTTTGTCCTTCGTCACGCTCCTTGTCATCCTCGCCTCTTTCTAACAAGGAAAGGGACCCAAGTGTCCCCCTCCGATTTTGACGAGCTTTAAATATGTTGTAAAGTAGTTCAAAATAAGAGACACGTATTTTTTTTTATGTGCTTTCTCGCACGTTTAGGGTTGAAACAACCCCTACAAGCTAAAACGATTTTTTTGGTTTTGACTGAATATCGTCAAAACTGTAAGAGGTATCAAAAAGTGTTTCGAATAAAAGTTGCATGGTCTTTTATGAGCTTTATAACCGCGTAGGTCGATTTTTAAAAATTTTATATTTTTAATTTACCCTCCCCCTTTTTATTATTTTTACAAATTTCAAAATTTTTGTTATGACAAAAGTTGTAGCATTTTTTACGCTGAATACAACCATATATAATTTTATTATGTTTCGAAATCACATCTTTCAGAAATGAGCTGTCAATGTCGCACTATATGCGTCGCGCTGCGATATATGCATATATATGCATAACGCATCGTTTGTGCCGCTTGTGTAATCGATGTTTGTCGCGCATGTGTAATTGATAAGACGAATAAAATTAGAAATAAAGATTAACATGTTATAAAATATTCGGAAAAATGTTCTGATCAAAGAACAAAGTTCACTAAAGTTGTTGCCAAGGCATCCCCTCTATTTTACACTTTTATAGTCGCATTTCGAGTGTATTTATAGCGCAGCGCGTTGTCATATCCTGGCAGTGCATATTACGCTTTAAAGTTGTGCGCTTGTTAGTGATTACGGAAAAACAATATATAAAACAGCATCAAAAAAAGAACAGCAAATTCACTATAAAGTAAGTATTATTTTTTTGTACATAAATAAGGAGAAATATTTAATTGTTACCATATATTTTTCAGAATGGTTCAATTAAATCCATTTAACGTAATAATGTTAGTAGACGTAACTTTTTCGGCCCTTAATCTATCAACAAGTCCGATAACATCTGAAGAACGAGAAATGGCACATAAAATAGAATCTATGCTGAAAGAAATGCGCGATGAGAGATACGAAATGGAAGTAGAAGAACCTTTAGATTATGAAAACGATAACGATATTCCAACAGCAGAGCAATTCGAACTAGGAGATGAAGAGGAAGAAGGTGAGCTATTGGACGCAAATCCTAAAGTTATATGTACTACAGATGAACGTGTTCCGTATGAATATAAAAAAAATGCAGTCGAATTTTGGAAAAGCAGTACAACAAGGCCAAGAACATTAGAAGAAGTAAAACGAAGATTTCGGAAAGTATATTCATTACGTCAATTACGACGATGGGAAATTCAAGTGAATCAAGGTGGCAGTAGATTCGAAAGATTAAAACAAATTTCGGAATATACATTAAATAATTTTCATACAGCTCTTGAAAATAGAATTATTGTTCACGACGCTGATTTAGCTCGATGGGCTATTCGGGCACAGGAAAATTTAAATGTACCAGGATTTACAGCTTCATCGCGATGGATACGAAAATTTAAAATAATACATAATATTGTATCTCGTAAAATAAGAAAATTTATAAGAAAAACATCTATAATGTCAACGTCGATTTTGAAGAAAAATGTAACACATTTATTGAAAACGTTAAATATCAAATAATAGAATATGGAGTTGAAAATATTTACAATAGTGATCAAAGCGGATTCCAATTAGAACTTCATGCCGGTCGTACATTGGCATATAAAGGAACAAAAAAGATTGAATCTGCAGTACAATCCGTATCGGCAACTACGCATAGCTATACTATACAACCTACTGTTTCAGCCGATGGTAGATTATTATCGACTCTTTTTATTGTACTGAAAGAAGTTAGTGGAACATTTGGTCCCAGAGTGCAAGAAACAATGTTTAAGGCACCTAATATTTTTGTTACGGCTTCGAAATCCGGAAAATTAACAGCGCATCATTTTAAAATTTGGTTGCAAGACGTATTTTTTCCAAATGTAGGTCCAAAATCTGTTTTACTACTAGATTCGTGGACTGGTCATTGTCCAAATATTATTCAAGAATCTAAACCAGAATCTACAGAAGATATTATTTTGTTGACTATACCAGCTGGAACAACAGGAAAAATACAACCATTGGATGTATATGATTTTCGTTTGTGGAAGAATTTCATTAGACACTTTTCTGATACTGTAATGCTTTTAGGTCTGGAAGTCAATCTGCATGTAAAAAACACCATTTTAAAACTACAGTCACTGACTCATAATCAATTTTCATCGCCAAGATTCAGAAATTTATTGAAATACGCATGGTATAAAAGCGGGTACGTAATAAATAAGCCCGAAGAATTCGAAACACCAGTGGAATTTTGTTTCCATAAACAGTCAAAACCAACATGCGATATTTGTGGCGCACCTGCAATAATTACTTGCGCATGGTGCAAAAAGTCACTTCGTATAAATCACTTTTTTCACGAACATCACCTTTGTGATACGTTTGTTCCATAAATTCATCTGTTTTTAATATATGTTAATATATGTATTATATTCAATATATGTAGTATGTTATTGTTGAAGGTAAAGTTGTAATTGTTTCGACATATATTATTATAAAAGAAATAAAATAATAAACAAACAAATGTTTCTAGTATTGATTAATAGAAAAACCTAAAATTAATTGGAATTTTTTGCATTACCATTGAAAAACAATAAATTGCATTTTAATTGTAAGATTTTTATTTATTTATTTCTCTTTCGATATAATCCACTCTTAAAAAAGGCATGAAAGATCGATACTCGAATGTATCAAAAGTATTGTTGACGCTTATCCGCGACGCTGATTGGTTATCTCGATTATTCTGACAGTTTGATAGTTTAAGAGCAAAGATTATTTTGACGGTTATTTAAAATTTTAAAAATTTTATTAAAATATTTAGATTTTATAATTATTAAATTATTATAATAAGTGCACGGGCGCAGCGCGCGCTTGTATTGTTCTAGTATAACTATAAAAGTGTAATATAGAGGAGATGCCTTGGCAACAACTTTAGTGAACTTTGTTCTTTGATCAGAACATTTTCCGAATACTTCATAACATGCTAATCTTTATTTCT